CCAGTGCAGTAATTACGACGATAAAGAGTACAAAGGAAAAAATTATACGTGGCTGCCGTATTTCGATCAGAGTAAGCGATCGATTTTTAAAAAAATGAAATAAAATCTTATCTTTATATATCATTACATCGAAGATGTCAATCAAATTTGATCGATATACGAATCAATCGATACTCCATTCGATCTTACAAATAATACTGATGAATGAATATCGTGTTGTTTAATTGTAGCGGAGCCATGCGAACTGTACTGCACGGACACAGAGGAAAGCGTGATTGTCCCGTGGGGTGAAGCTGCTCTCGACGGTACACCGTGCAACGTTGGTACCAGAGATATGTGCATCGCAGGCATCTGTCGAGTCAGTTTTATCACGAGAATTTTTTTTTTTTTTATAATTTCGTTCGATATTATCTCGTATTTTTCAAATTGCAATCGATATTGTAGAAAGTTGGCTGCGATTGGACGGTCGACTCGGACGCTACGGAAGATCGTTGCGGAATCTGTCATGGCGATGGGACCCAATGCGAGACCACGGGCGGTGTTTACGACAAAAATGACGGGCCAGGATACAAGGAGGTAATCATTGTCCCCAATGGATCGAGGAACATCAAAATCGAAGAGATTGGAAACAGCAAAAATTATATTGGCATTGGAGTGCCCAACTCTGACAAATATTTTCTTAATGGTAAACGGTAAGTAGTTGAAGATCTATACATGTATTCCACATCTGGAAAAGATGGATATATAGAAATAATAAAGATATAATAATTTACAAAACTAACTAAATAAAATAATATAGGAGTTAAAGGATAAAAAGATAAAAGATGTTGCGTCAATATTACAATCTAGAAATATGATTTTCATCCCAATTGAACAGGCAGATCACTTTAGCAGGAGAATACGAAGTTGCTGGAACTCCAGCTCTGTACGAGCGCGATCGGGACAGAGAAAAGGTCAGAATTCCTGGCCCCATCAAAGAGGACATTGCAATCTATGTACGTATTCGACGTTAACCACCAGTTCAATCACGTACCATGATCATTTTATCGTTATTTCATCGAGCCTTTCCTTATCTAATTCCATCCACTTTTCATTCAAGCGCGTACGTATCTAACCTCCACTTTTATTTCTCGTTCTTATATAATAATATCGTCATTTCAGTTGATTTCAAGAGGACATTATCGGAATTTCGGGCTCCGTTACGAGTACACAGTGCCGAAGAAGGAGCCCGACCGGGCACCGGAATACTCGTGGGTATTTTCCGATTGGTCATTGTGCACGGCCACTTGCGGTGGCGGCACGCAAACGTCGAAACCGTTCTGTAACGAAAAGAAGAGCGGGGTCGTCGAGGAGCACTTTTGCGAGAGCATCGAAAAGCCGGAGACAAAATTGCGGGAGTGCAATCTGAATCCATGCCCGGCCAGGTAAAATTAAAACTCCTGGAGAGAATCTTCTGGTAAAGAAAAATTGAAAATTCAAAATTCGATCGCATTTTGAATTGATTATTTAAAAAAGAAAAAAAAAGAAAAAGATATATATAAAATATAATACTATATATACTATATAATATATATATATACAATATAATATATATACTATAT